GGTCTTCACCGGTCCACCGCGGGTCCTTTTGTGACGAGATCCATTGTAAGCGGGAAGAGGAGTGGGCTAAAAGCTGATATGATGTACATCCAGCGTAACGTCTACAGCTTTCGTTGAGCCGTGAGGAATGCGTGGAGCAAATTGGGGCCAACCGTACATGCCTATGACGGGGGAAAGTCAGGTTTTTCGGAGCACTTCGTTCTCTGAGCGTTCTCCAGAGAACTAGTCGAGGTCCGAGGTGGAGCTCTCTATTTAGAACATTTGCTCGATTCCTCTTCAACTTCTATAACTGTAAAGATGGCATTCATCGGCGTCCTTAGAAACACGAATCCGGTTTTCGGGAGATGGAGTCAATCTTGGGACCACTAGCCTCTCGCGCAGCTTTATGGTATGAGCAGTCAACCATATTCCACAAAAGTTACAGCACTCCATAGCGTCTTCCTTCTGCTTCAAAATAGGAAGAATATCACTGCTTTTGTACGCATCTGAGATTCTTCTTCCAGCATTCACAATGTTTAAAGACCCACTTGATTCCGTGCTCTGCAAGCGCATTCTATGTTTCGATTAGTATCACATCTTGACCGGTTGCCTTCTCAGTCTAGATTCGCCTTACTGCTCTACAGATCTCATCTCCTGTCCTTAAGGCGATAGGACGAGCCGCTTTTCCCAGATTCGAGCTGCCTCGTCACCTTGGAATCCACCTCGAGACGGTATCAGCATTTTCCTTTGATTCATTCGAGGTCTTCTTTCTCGACTCCGTGCAGCTTCCCTTTTAGATCATATGCTCCGTTCTTGTCGAATCACCAACCACTTTGAGTACGATAAATCTGCGAATAGCTAGGAAAAAACCAATAGTTGCAAAGGATGAACGGCTTTCCGTAAAACACAATGCAAAATTTCTACCACCGTACTTGCTCAAAGTAATCGATTTCCGTCATTGCGACACAACATACTATAGTTCAGATCAGTATAGATCTGAACGCACCCTACTAACGTTGAATTTCACTGGTTTACAATGAAGGATGGTGTCCGAGCTTTCTCTCTTGGAGGGACCTGTGTCCTTCAAGGACAGCCCAAAGGACGCGGTCAGGTCGAAAGACGACAACAACTTTGTGGTCGTATTCTCCTCCAAGCCCTAATTTTACTACTTGTTTGAAGCCCTCTTCTCGCTAATTACCCGACTTTCCGCTTTCTTCTCCCTTTTTTTGCGCTATTCTGGATAGTCTAAAACTAGGGATCCCAAAATTATCGTGAACTGTGCTTTCAACAGATAGAAGCAATTCCCCGACAGTATATAAAGTAAAGGATAAAATCTTTCGACGGTAATCAGTTACGTCTCCTCCCCACCCACATTTGGCTCCCATTTAGGATTATAGTGGCCTACACAATGACTTTCGGTGGACAACCGATGTACAAGTCAGTGCATTTATCCTCCCAAACGAATGTTGTAGAAATTAACCAACCCCGAACGAATGCAAGGCTTGGGTGGCCTTTCAGACATGGATACGGAATTCAAACCCGTGACCGTGCGTGCGTGNTAGTGCTTCACTTGCCACTACATCACCTTCCGCAATAGTTTGTATGAATAGATACTTTGTTTCGTTTTAGTTGTATTCTCTCGTTCGTCGATCACCTGAATTGTCCAGTTTGACCTCAAAACCATCACTACGTCCATTTTTGTGGTTGTGTGGACGTCTGGTTCTGCTTTATAGCATGGGATTCGCCTTTCTGATGTTTGGTTTAGTGAAGACAAAGTACTGGATCGGGGTGAGTTCATACCTCAACGCAACTCTAGTCTAACTAAAATGCGATTTCGACTGCGGCACGTAGGTGTGAAATAAACTGAAACTACTTCGACATTTTTCTTACGCGCGAAAAACCGCTTTCTGGTCTTATAATGCAGATCAACAGCACATCAATGGGATGCCATTTTGTTAGAACAAAATCGCAAAAAATTGGTTCTATTGAGGAGAGTGGAGCCACAGGAAAGTCTTCTCTGGGCGAAAGATGTGACCCGTTGGCGGTATAAGTCCTGAACCGGAACTCCTGTATCAAAAATTGGTGACCGCGCTCAACCTTTGGCTAGTCGTGTACCTGTATTTTCGTCTTAAACTTATAGAAGATGAAGAGATCGCCGTGCACGCCACGACCTGATTTCAATGCGACAACTACGATAGTGCTACAGACCTCATCGAGACACATATGTTGGGCAGAAGAGGGACTAGGTAGTCATGGCGAGGGAATAGAAAGGAGATAGCCTGTGGCCATTCATCAGTCCCTATAGCAGACCATCCAGTCGGATGATCGTTCTGACGAGGTTACGGGTGGAACACATAACAGAATTGGCTTCTGCCGAGCAGAATCTCACCATCTCTTTGAATCATTCTATTTAGCCTGTCAAATCACTCTACTTCATCGGCTACATCTTTTACTTTATAATATGGCCAACACTATACCAAGTACTTCTTAATGTCCTGCCGTTGAAAAAGAAGGATCCAGTGGGAAGTCCAACCAGAACCGATGCAAGCAGAACAGAAGATGCTCTGAAAAAGATGTCGTGATTGTACATAGAAAGTTCTGTTCCTATTCTTAAAATTAGTTCCAACGATCTTATTGCTTATTATGTGATCTCACATCTACTTAAGGCTGCTTGGTGTTTGTTCGTACCTTGTCCTCCAGCTTCTGTACTTTACTGATTTTCATATGGAATATAAGTGCTCGAATAATAAAAATCATGTCTACCGAAAAGAAGCAAAATAACTGATGACTCAGTAAGCAAACTGTCTCAAAGGCACGGTAAGTGACCAAAAATGTGTTAGTTGTAGTTTAGTAGGATGTCTTGTGTGTTCTTTCTCAGCCGAACAGACACCTTACTATTAAAAGAGCGGCAGAAAAGGGGGAGATCCGAAGAAATTTTCAGGTGGAATGAAAAGGCTCATCTACAACACGAAACCCAGTGCCGTTGAAGGAGCACAGTTCTCAATAAAAACGGTTTCAGGGATACCCTCCTGGGAGGAAACTGTGGCCTACCCGTGTGTCTTATGACACTGTCGGGTCGGAAAACGGCCTGGATGGGGCTATATAGGTGCTAAAAGATTGTCCGGCTGTATACCACACTCCAAGATGAACGCGTCTTACCGGCGTTGCAAAGGCTGCACTGTTCACAATGGGTGCTCACGTTGGAAATTAAAACAACTAGTCCTGTCCCTGGCCACACTGGAAATCAGTTTTGGACACATTTGGCTTTTATGGTAGCTCTTTACGCACTTGCACTGACTGAAATCTCGCCCAATTACGCATTCCATTTCATTGTAGTAATCTTGTACAAACTCTATTTTCACTACTTCTAGGAAACCGCAATTTCCACGAATTAGACAGATTTCCTCGAATCCTCTAGGAAATCAATGCCTGAGGTTTTTGAATGCTTCACGATTTTTTTCTGCACATTTCGTTATTGCCAGTGTATTCAAGAGGTATGACCGAAACATCGAGAGTTTTCGGAGCGTTCATGAAGCGGCATTCACCATGAAGGTGTCCGGAATGAAGTTCACTGTCATACAGAGAATAGGACGTTCCACATGAAACGGACTCGTCAATTCTGCAACGCTGTCAGGTCAGGCATCCCGCTTGTAATGCCTCGGGGACAAGGAGACCTTCATGAACTTCTGCTACCAGACGACATAGGCAATCAGACGCTGTTCCAGATCTGAACCTCATCTCAGTGTGCGCGACACTGCAGCGGAATTACATGAAAACCCAACATCAGTGTGAAGCTTGTAGGACGACGTCTGATTGCTGCCGAACTGAACACAACAAGTCTGGCTAGAAAGTTCCCTGTTACAGAAAAGGCTGCATGATGGAAAAAGTTGATTGAGGGGTTTTACGTTATTTATTATATCAGTCGGTTCGCCGCCGTAACGCCGGGCTTCTCTCCCTCTTTGACAAAGTTGTAGTAACTGATTAACTCTCCACTTCTTTGAAACAATAATATTCTCTTGTACTCGAAGTTTGCCACAGGACTAACAGGGCAGTGCACCTGGTATTCAGTGTAAGTGTGCTTAGGCCTTTAATTCGAATTATCGATCTTTAATTCTTTTGTTCTTGTTCTTAAAATTGTACACTCATTAAAGATTCAACTGTTAGGTACGAGGGTTGCTTTTATATTTCGGGATTTGGAAACACCAGTGTAGCAATCTAGCAACTGACACCACTATCGTAAAGTTTGACTATTTTGAGGTTCCGTTGAAATTTGAGCACGATTTGTGTTGCTTACACTAAGTTATAGAACTTTGTTTGGGCCAAGTTAAGGAGTTGAACCGTGAGCATTTTCGCGCGATTATTTTCTGCAACTTTCGACGTGGACTAATTCAACAGCAATGCATGAATGAACTTCTTGGTGATGAAGCTCCATCCAGGGGCAGTGTTTATCGATGGCACAGTGAGTTCACTCGAGGTCGCAGTTCACTCGAAGACGAATTTCGTGGAGGTCGTCCAAAATCAGTCGTCCCGGAAACGGTTGATGCTGTGCACAAACTAATACTGCAAGATCGTCATGTGACCTATCGTGAGATTGAGACAACCTTAGGCATTAGCGGGACTAGCTTACATTAAATTTTTCATAAACATTCGACTGTAAAAAAACTGTTTTTGAAAAATTTGTCAATCTCCCAAAAAAAGAGACTCGTGTCGATTGGTCGAAAGAATACGCACGCACAAAAAATACGATCGCGATGCTTCGAAACACGTTTATGACAACCGAGACGAGGGATGGATCATGGATTTATGCGTATGAGCCCAAAAAGAAACAGCAGTCGACGGTTTGGGTATTTCAAGATGAGCGAAATCAACAAAAGCTGTCCGCGCACCAAGCACTCCCAAGCAATTGGTCTGCTGTTTTTTTTTGGAAAAACTGGACATGTCGCAACCAGGACAAGCAGAACAGTGAATTCTGAGTGGAATACAACCATATGTTTGCCAGATGCCTTCCAAAAAATTGGGAAAACCAACTGCTAAAGACGGATCACTCTTCACCACGACAATGCGAGTTCCCACGCACCGGCTCAAACAACTGCATTTTTGAGCACTCAAAGCAATGATTTGACAGGTCATCAGCCATGTAGTCCACAGGTGACTTNTAAAAAATGAAATGAGAGGTCAACGTTTTTCGACACCTCTTGAGGCCGTTGATGCCTTCTGAATGCATGTTTTAGAGATACCTTAATCAGAGTGGCAAAAGTACTTCGAAAATTGGTTCGAGCCCATGCAAAAGTGTATAGATCTTAATGGGGAAAATTTTAAATGGCAGTCAAGCGATTTTCAATAAATAGTATTTGTTCCTGTTCTCAAATACTGAAATATAAAAGGCAACCTACGTAACCAAGGCCTCGGATGGTACTTATAAATGATCCTAGTTATGATAACAGTATTATCCTATATCGTTATCGATGAACCTTTTTTTCACGGAGATATTATTAGTTGAGAATCCCAGAATACTGACGGTCGGTAGAGTTTTGTCGCAAATGATATAAAAAAAAAGAGTATCCTTAATTGAGTAACAAACCTTGCCGGGAAGCAGTCGTAATCTAATAGCAAGATATGAACAAAAATTTCATCTGCTCATCATAGTTCAGCTCATGGGTCTCTAACACTGTCCTTACCGCTCACTTTTGTCACCGTACCCTACCACCCGTCTTATTGAATGAAACATGTCAAAGAGTCAGTGTTTGATTGTGAAAATCAAAGCCATTAAGGTCTAATTGGTATGTAGCTCTTATTCTTTGGGACCACTTATCAGCACTTATCAATTGTTATCAATTCCTCTCTTGGAGCACCTACAACCACGTCACATCCTACATCACCTATTAAAATGCCAATGTTTCACTGTTGACACGGAGGAGATTACAAACCCAGTAGCCCTAGCCTTCTAGGCTCTTCGTCAGTCCTGACCCGCTTGTTATCAGTCCTTATCACCTCCGGCCTCTTTAAATAACAGACCGCCTACTAGAGTGCTTTACGGTTGATATGAAAGACGTCGTAGACCTGAAGGTCCCCGCCTTCTATGGCTCGTTATCAGTCTCTAACAGTTGTTATCAACCCTAATCACACATCTACGGTCCCTTCTAATCCACATCCCTTACTTAAATGCCAGTGTCCCACCGTCTAGACGAAGGAGGTAACAAGCTCTACGGCTCTCGCGTCCTGAGACTCTTTATCAGGTCTTTTCAATTGTTATCACCTCGTATCACACATCATCGGTGTTCCCATCATGCCGCTTGTACTCCTGCCAAATACGAACGCTCCAGGTCCACGTAAACAGGAGTTGTGAACTTGTTCGAAAATTTCTATCGCGCACGCCCCGCCCCCTGTGGTCGAAGTCTGGTCCTGCTATCCACCACAAGTGTTCCCATCTCGCCGCCTGTACTCGTACCAAATTTCAACGCTCTAGGTCCACGGAAACGAGGATGTGAATTTCCGGGCAAACACACACACACACACACACAAACACACCGACAACCCGTCAGACACACTTAGCAAGTTATGTATATGTAGTAGGATGGCTTGAACATCGGTCAAACTCGCTATCAACTTTATTTGTTTAACCAGTGGGGTCGCTGAGCTTACGCCGGGC